AGTAATTTTTTGCCAAAATAAGACTTTATGTTGGTAGAAAGAATACTCTAAAATTAATCTGCTTTTGGAAACATTCCACATTCATTATAGTAGCTCCCCTTATCCCTTTTCAATAAATCTAGATGAAATAGGTTCTGGGGTGGGTCACTTTTAAGTGATTACTGAAGCTACACTTATGTATAAAAAATGTGAAAGCACAGAAACATTCGTGTGCTTAGAATCACTTGGTTATCTGCAGAAAAGAAGACAGCGCTTAACGTTGCTACTGATAAACCTTTCATTAAGCATTGTTGGCAGTCCTAATGGAGCCAAGGAGGATTCAAACAGAAGAGACTTGTTTTGCAGGAGGTTGCTATGAATCAAATTTTAAAAATGCTCTTGGAAAGGATATGCTTGCTATTGTTTCTCAACAAGTTTAAGCAGAATGTAAAGTCAAAAATAGGATTTTTTAAGTTACAAAGAGTTAAAATTCAGTAAGAGCTATAGTGTTAACCATTTTGTTTTTGTTAAAATTAAGACTTAAATGCGTAGCTTCAAAAAGCCAAAGGTGCTTAAAACTAATGCTTGCAGGCCTACAAGATTTACAGTGTAAACCACAGAAATAAAAATTGCTGTGAGATAATTTATTTACATTTTAACAAATTTTAAGGGAATCTTTACAAATTAAGACCAAAAGTAAATTAACTATAAGACAATTTTATATCAAAATTCTCCTTGAACAACTGTTTTTCTTCTAGCACATCTCTTCCGCTGCTACTGTCTACAAATAATTTTTCCTAGAATGAACCATTTGACTGAGTTCTATGGTATAATTTTAAGTAATTTATACATTTTTTATACAACAGAATGGAGTAAAAATTTAGCAATCCCATAGTAATATTCTAATTTTTTCCATTAAAAAATCTCTACTGTTTTTATGGCCAACAAGGCTACATTTACAATTAAAATGCTAGCCTTCTCCGGAGGATCTATTTTATTAAGATCATGGCATCTTGCCTTCAGCTTTGGCTAGTCCTCCATGTAAAGGAAGCCGTAATTGAAGTACAGGGGAAAAAAGGCATGTGTGTGTTCAATTTCCAACAGTCTAACAAGTGAAAAAGAATAATGGGCTGAGAGCTACACATTCTGGGGAGTAACACAATGACTCAGAATCCTAGAACACTGCAAGGGCATCTAACCTTGTAACACTAATTCCATGAAGGAACACCTATGACAAGTTGGCCCATGACCATTCAGCCTTTTCTCTCTTACTTTTGGTGATGGGGCACTGACCACCGCATAAGACAACAAGCTCAAGTTTTCAGACAGTAGAATCTTTAGATACTTCTTTCTACTGGGTTGAAACCGCCTCATTACATTCTATTTAGCTGTAGGTCTGCACTATGAAATTTGCGGGGAAAGTCTATTTCCTTTTACATATTAGACCATGTCAAGTAATTTATGTATTCCAATACATATCTGTAAAAATACTGTAGATATTCAAACTTAATATTAATTGCCTTTTTCATTGTAAATCAAACAAATCTTTATTTCTAGACAGCTACCGTTCTGTTCTTTGAGCAGTCTTTATTTTTACTAATTTAAATTTAATAAATACATGTGCTTGATCAAAACTCAATACACAAGAGTTTAAACTGAAAAGTCTTCTTATTCTATCCCTAAGAATTCTTGTTTCCTTGCAGAAATTTTCTATGCATAAAGATATATATGTATGTTATTTTAAAAAGCAAATATAACTCTACTACTGTGTGTACCTTTCTTTTGCTACTTGGTTTATTTGGAGGTCAAACAGATTGGCACATACAGCTGTTTAATATTACATTACAGAGATACTATAATTGATTTAACCTATCTTATTTAACATTTAGATTATTTACAGTTCTTGCTATTACAAATATTTCAGCAATGAACATTCTTACAAACATTTTTACATAACTGTACAAGTACTTGTAAGATAAATGCCTAGAAATGAGATTGCTGGTTCAACAGGTACGTAAGTGATAAATTTTGATATATTACCACAATGCCCTACAAAGATGCCTCTGCAATTTACAATTCGATTGATAGCATGTGAGAGTGCCTATTTCCTGTTCTCTCATCATGCCTGGTATTAATTTTTTTTTAATTTGCCAATATTGATAATTATGAATCAAATTAAATAATTTTCATGTTTATTAGCATTTGTATTTATGTGAAGCTCCTGTTCATAAGCTTTGCCTATTTTTTAATTGGGTAGATTAGATGTCTGCCAGCAGCACCTGGGGTTTATAATTCTTTGTTTACATTCAGACAGGATAAACATTATGTAACACAGGAAGCTGGGAGTATGGTGCTTTTGTCTCACTTCAACCCTTTCTAAGTAGGTAAATCTACCCTGTCTTTCCCTCCTTGCTTTGTACTGTGTTTTAAGTTGATTCAATAAATCAGCAACAAGAGTATCTTAATTTGGTGAGCCTTTGTGTACTCTGACCACAGCTCCTGCCTACACTATGTGATATATATAAGGTAGCTGATAGTACCATGTGGTAAGGCTACAAGGAGCGAGATGCCCAAGTTAAGGACAAGGTTACAAAGGCCTGGATACCCCTGGAACTGTTGCCAGCACCAGCAAGACTTGGGCTAAATCAGGAAGAGTGGACCACTAGGCACTGATTATACCAAGAGAACCGATCCACAAATTCACTAGTCACAGATTTGATACCTGAACTCACCCATGAATAAGAACATCCAGAGTACAAGAATCTACACACATGTTCTAGGTCCCCTCGTTCTACATCCACTAGAATATGCTAACTCTTCACTCTTACCCACCTCTCCTCAAAATGCCCAGATGACACCCTGGACAGAACAGCAGGAGGGGCAGGGAATCTGAAAGACTCAGGATTCACCTGCGAGAACCTGAGTCATCCAAAACTGACATTTAAAACTAGAAATGACTAAGACAACATTAATTGGCAAGTACAGTTTCCCATTCTGCCTAGGGATGACTTACTAAGAAAAAAGATTTTATAGTAAAGAACCTACCTCTTTGTACGCATGAGTAGCAATATAAGTAAATTTGTGAGCCCTCTATAGTTTTACTAACTGCCCTACCAATATGGAAATGAGGAAAACAAAAGAAGTGAGGAAGAGAAAGCTGGTTAGTCAGGACCGAAGAATGAGTATCTTTAAAGCAGTCTGTGCCCTACTTCAAGGATCTATAAGTTCTCTCTTTCTGTCTCCTCCCCACTCAAACACCCAAATATCTTACACTCTATTGTCTGAAGACTATCTTCAGTTAGCAGGATATTTGAGCAGCTGCTACACATAAGATATACCTACTAAGTACAAAGGTCGCAAACTAAAAAAAGATGTACATCAACCCATATGCATGCATCTATAGGTGACTTAGTTACTTTTCTGCCACAAACATTATTTTAAAAAGTAGCTATCTTTTTTACAGAACATCTATGTTTCGAATCCTAAAACTACAAATATTTCCTCTTACAGTAAAAGTGGGACAATCGCATCAGAGTGAATAATCTCATAAATGGTATGATTTTTATGTCAGTCTTAAAATTTTGTACAAACTTTGGATATAAATGAAAAGATGGATTTCATACATGGGTCAGTTTGCACTTCAGTCAAGATTAGATCAATGTATGCAGGAGGGCAAGAAGGATCTAATCAGACAATCAGCGATGACTACAAATCTCAGGACAAATAGGTCAATCTGCTGCCTCTACACATTTCTAGTTCTTAAGTATTCCTTTTATAAAGCTGGGAAAATGCAGACATTAGTCTATAGTAAAATGCAAGCTCGATATTTACACAAAGGAAGAAAAATCAGATTTTGAAAGAAACTCTTTGGAGTGATAAAAAGATAACTACCTGGACACTAAAAGCCTCAGGGCTAAAAGGGAAAGACAGACAGACTGGCACGCAGGATGCCGAAAAGTTCTGAGCGTGGAAATGAGGAAGTCGCCCTGCAGTTTTACTCAGAAAATTCAATCTCTGGGGCTGGTGTACCATCTGGTGACCATTCTGGGCCTGTGTGTCAAAAATTGCCCAGAGATTTCTGGACACTTTTGAATGCCATCATGACCTACAGCAAATTGCAGGTCTTTCTGAAACTTGAAAAAGAAAAATATAAGATTGGACCTAAATGTGATAAAACACAAGTGAGCAGTTAAGGTATAATAAAGAGTAAGATATTCCTCATTTAGTACAAATAAAATGCCCGTTGGAATATACTACCAACTTGAAATACAAATATGTATGATATATTTCTCCATTTTCTATATATTGATATACAAATTTTAATTATAGCATTTTGTAAATTATAATTGGCAATACTTGGTTATTCCAAAAGTTCTGTATAAGCACCAACAGAATTACTTTGAAATTGATGAATTTCAGCCCCAGAAATATACACATTTTTCCCATGGATTTTATATCAATGTTATTTGTCAATGCTATTGTATTAAAACAAGCAGAACTTTCTACAGTTGATTAACAAATCACAAATATTTATCAACCAAGTTTTTCCACCATCACTTTCAGCAACCATGCTGAAACAAATTCCAGAATTACTAAATGGAAAAAGAATGTGAAAAGATGTCCTACACATACTCAGAAGTAAAAAATTAATGGTTATGTTAATTCTTTCTCAATTTAACCGTAAGATTTTCCCAACAACTACAATTGAGCATTCATATTTAACTCTTTCAGAACAAGAAAGTCTAAAATGCTTGAGAGTGCTCTACATTAAATCAAGATGACTTAACCAAATAAACTCAGCATGCATCTTCCTTCTTTTTTAAAAAGGAAAGTGGACAGAAATGCTGAATGTCTAAAATAATGCTTAATGTCCATTTGAATAGACAGGAATTTAAATAACAGATCTTCCCCCACCTCCTAAATAGGTAAAACAGAGTCACACAAATTTCTCATCAAAAGCAGGAGGGCCCAGGCCTCCCCAGAGTCCTGGCAGTGAACAGACAGGGGCGGCCTATACTCACACAGATGGCGAGAGCTCCTGCCCCCATCGTCGCAGGAAGTGTCCGGTAAAACTGATGAAGACCAGATGAAAACATCAAAATGATAGCAAAATACTGAAATTCTACTCAGTGGATACGCTCTGATTTGAAAACCAGCTTCCAACCTTGAGGCCCCACGGTAAGCGAAGAGCAGCAGCTAACATTTTCGGAGGTATGGTTTTGCTTCTCATTTGGTTAAACCCACGTGGCTGGGAGGACTGCGTGGAGTTGAAATTTGATCCACAGCGTCTAGTATTAGCAAGGAGAGGGGAGTCATGTGACATGGGTCTTAAGTCACTAACATCCTTTTCTTAAACCTGACTTGCTAGCCACACAGGCTTCTGCTCAGAAAATGCTGATCACCTGATGGTATTCGTTAATAGAACTAACAGTGCATAAAGAGAAAACACCAACTTGCTTTCTTGTTGCTATTCATCTCTAAGAAAAATTCACATATTTACACGCAGGTTTAAATCTGCAGGCATATTCTTTTTAGAAGCAGTTTTCACTTCTCTTGCCCCTTAGAGACCAGTTAAATTCAATCAAAATTTTCTTCCCTCTAGTCTTATTCTATCAGAATTGTTCTAATTGAAAATGCTCTATTTTGTGTAGCTGTTACTTACTGCTTCTGATTACTTTAAAATAATCTTATTTGCATATACTGGTGATAAACATAAAATAACATGCTTCTATACATTCATAATTCTACACATGTGATTTACAGTCTGAAAAATTAGCCTCTTTCAGCAGTTTCCTACTACTCCATATGCACTGTCATTAGAAAATCTGATAGATTTTACAAGGTCTACATATTTTAACTGATAGCTAAAATATCCATTTCACAAAAGCCAGAAGAAAACTGTCCTTTTTAAAAAAAAAATTTATAACCACTTTTCCATCAAATATGTTTTTACTGGTACATTTAAGACAATGCTGACTAATGTTACATGCGAAGTTCACTTGACCCAACTTTAAAAGACTTAAATTGCCCCAATAATAAAGACATATTAAAGATACATCTTGAGGGGAGGAGGTGGGAGGAAAGGGAAACCCAAACTCGGCTCCAATTTCAATACTTCCCTTCAAATCTAATATTCCTTGTTTATCTACAGCCAACCAACACTAACTGCAGCAGAGCCAAGACAGCAACTCTCATTGAGCAAGCCACAGGACACAAGTACATTTATTTTACTTCTATATGTGCACACAGAACACTGCGCTGACTCTACTTCCACACGGCAGAATGACACAATCCCAAGGCCATACAGGGAATGGGGGTGGGAGAATGGACACAATCTTTTTCCTTAAAAAAAAAGAAAAGAAAAATTGTTCTACTTACACCTTAATCTAGAATTCATCACTTCTGCTTTCCATTCGCCAATTAGATAACTAGGCTGATTACTAAAGAAAATTATCATAAAACAAAATTTTCCTAATACTTTAAAAATTGATCTTCTTTATCTGATAAGTATTGTCAGTCTGATGAAACATAAAAGCTTAGAGATTAAGTTACCTAGAGGCCCATCATCCAACATCACCCAATTGATATTTATTACCTCCACAGAGGTGCTAATAAAGCAAAGATGAAGCAGTAAAAGAGAACAGAGGACAGCCAGAAACATCTAACATAGCTATTTCCAATCTCTTTTCTATGCTTTTTAAAAACCAATTTAAATCAAATCTGATAATTTTATATCCTAATTTTTCTGCACTTAACATTGTATCAGAAGTATACTCACTTATTGTTAATACTGTAAACAATTTTAATCATGTGTAATATTGCATTTAATCATTTTCCCATTTTTAGACATTTATATTGTTTCTGACTTTGTGCGTAAGACTGTAATGCTTTGTCCTCATTCTGATTTTTTTTCTAGTAGACTCCAGAATGTGAAATTTCTGGATCACAGAGAGTAAGAACGTATGCTAAGGCTCTGACATACATTGGCTCTAGCAGTTAATATTCTACAACCCACTCTGCAAGTTTAAATATTTTATAAACTATTTCCTAATTTAATAAGTGAAAATGATTTCTCATTTCAAAACTATTTCTTTTTTATTATCAGAACATTAAAGATATGAAAATTTTTTCTTAGGCATTTGTATCTTCTGTTCTGTGCATGCTTTGATCTATTTTCTTTATTCATTTATCAACTGAAGTCTTATCGGTAGAAGTATCTTTTATAGGGTTATTGTAAGGATTAAATGATATTACCCATAAAAAGCACTTATTTTTATTACTACCTGCTATCATATGGTTTGATTATATATCTACTTGGAATTTATTTCAAAATATAGTAAAAGATGAGGATCTGTTGATTTTTATTTTTCATGTAAGTACTGTAACCCAGACTGTTAACTCCTCCAGTATGCAATCTCTCTAATACTAGAGCTCTTTCTCCCTCTCAGTTGTGTTTGAGCCCATGGTTATCCAGCTAGAGACTACACTTTCCAGCCTTTCATACAGGTAGATAGGACCATGTGACCATATACGCATTAACAGACATGAATAGGCTATGCGCAACTTCTGTGTCACATGCTTAATGAGACATCCCTTGCTCCACATTTACTCTTCTTCTTTATCACAAGCTGAAATGTGGGTGCACCAGAAACCTACCTTCAACTATGGAGAAGAAAAATGTCCCAGGGGATGACAGAGTAACTAGATTGAATGGACTTAGCCTTCTGAATGACCTTGAGGAGTACAGCTACCTTACACGCTTAGAACAACTGAACTTTTATGTGAGAAATATAACTCTCGAAATGCTAAGTATTTTAAGGTCCTGTGTGTGTTTGTATAAAACGAGTTTGCCTTTATCCTAATATGTTAACCAAATGATTCAGCCCATTCGATGAGCAAATTTTTCATTTCCCATTTGTGATACTATCCATACTATATATTAAATTCATATACATACAATACATACACATGCACACAACAGAATATTTTTCAGGCTAATATAGTCTATCTGGTTTTTTCCCTAGTTTTATACCGCTAATAGTTGAATAACTATATCTTTATAATTCATTTAAATATCTGACAAAGACAGCTTCCTCTCACTATCCATCTTTTTAAAATTTTTATTGCTCTTCTTTCCAATCTATTCTTCATCGTGAATTTCAAAAAACATTCCCTAATGTTAGAAGAAGTTAGAGCACCAAAAATTACATCTCTTGCTACTGTTTCTAAAAGGTAAATATACATCTTATTTCTATTTTGGATATTACTATGTAAGAATGACATAAGTAGAAAAAAATCTAGTCCTAATTTTTATAACTTCTTATAGACCATTATAAAACAAAATTAACACTGTGCTTAACAAATTTTTATCCTTATTCTCTGCTATGACTAGATTTCACTTGCAAAAACAAACCTTGAATAGATCATTTAACAAAAATACACTAAAAGACACTCTTCAAACAATATTTGTTTCTCCATGGACTGTATCTGAAATTCAAGTCTGAAATATTTTTTTCTGAGCCCAAAATGCATACAAGTGGTACCAGAGTCCAATCAATTTCAGAAACTTCTCTGAGCTATCATATCTGTATACTCCAGAGTATTGATTTACAAAGAGTCTTAAGATGTGCAAGCCACAGTCAAGAGATTTGCTGATATGAGCTATTGCTTTTCCCCCAAAAGGGAAAAAGGGAATTTTAAAAGTGCTTTTCTGAAACTCTACTATGGTGGGCTAACTCCATGACTACTCTCAGAAATGCCAAAATACCACAGCAGAACAAAGGATGTCCTATTTTCAAGAAGATCCCTGGGCATTTTGGAGGAAGGTGTCAAGGTGACTTCACAACTGCTGTCATTTAAATCAGCTCTGACCTGCGGAAGCCTAATGGAGGAAGCTAAAAGGGATAGGTTATCCTTTAGCCTCCAAAAAAGCTAAATATGTTTCAAAGCCAAGTTCTCTGATGTCAGCTGGCAAAGCTAGCAGTTTTCAAAGGACAAAATCTCTTCAGCTGGAGTAGATAAAACGATGTTAAAAGAATAGCAGTAGCCTGCGGATACATTACTGCTAGCCCCGTAGCAGGGACTAGCAAGCGTTAAGGGGTTTGGGGGATAGCAACAATAGCATGAATCATCCCGACCTCTTGCAAGTGGGACATTGGAGGCTTTTTCGTTCAAATTCAATCTCTGCTCCGGCTCTAGCCTGACCCCAGCTATTTCTCAATGAGTATTCCAATCTGGCCCAGAATCGATGACATCCAACCAGACAAGATATCAGAAGTTAGTCAGTCAGCAACTACTTAGTATTTATGTACTCTTTCTTGGTCAGGGGGGTTCAGATATTTTGGTTTTTGAATCACTGACAGTAGATGCAATTGAGAGATTACTTGCTGTAGGTCAGGGGTCAGCAAACTACAGTCTGTGTGCCACAAGCCAAATCCACAATTTAACTACCACAAGCCAAATCCAGCTACTCTAGACCAAATCTGGTCACACTCATCTGTTTACATGAGGCATATGGTTGCTCTGGCACTATAGTTGCCAAGCTGAGTAGTTAGAGACAGAACCTATGACCCGCAAAGCCTAAAATATTTACCATCTCAGCCTGTATAGAGAAAGTTTGCTGATCCTTGTTCCAGGCTCTTACTGGACATGAGAGTCCTCATAAATCCATAGAAGACTAGTTTATGTGCTTTGGTTCCTTGGAAAATAGAAAGAAATAGGTCTTCCTTGCATTTGTTTATCTACTTTGTTACAATTGCCTCATTACCTGGGGCCAGGGTCATTTTTACCTTCTCCTAGTTATTTTTCTGAAAGATTTCCCTGAAAACGGTCTAGTGTAAATCTTATGATCCCATCTCTGTTCTGAATTCTAGATGCATTCCCATTCCACTTAAGGAAAAAAAAAAAAAATTACCACATTCCTAGGAAAAGATTGATTGTTCTGTAGCCATGGAAACAAATAACCAACACAACTAATTTTAAACCTGCTCAATCAGCAACTTGCTTCAGTAAACCTATTGGTTTTGCAAGCCAGCCCATCAGTGACAACCCATTATTTCTGGCCAATCAAGAACGGGCTCATTCCAATGAACTTATTTCTGAGTGCCGATCAATAACTGTCTCATTTGAGTAAATACTCTTCATCAGATGATGTGAACGCCCTTGAAAAGCCACCAACCCCAATTCCACACTTCTAAAAAACCCACATAAGATAGCAGTCTGCTCTGCTCAGAATGACTGCCTGACCAGCAGAGGTTTCCCTCACTACAACAGTCAGTAAATTCCGCT